TAAAGTATTTTATTAAAAAATTTTTTTTTGATTTCTTTTAAATATACATTAAAGATTTTGTCATTAATATTAATTTTATTATAGATATGATAAATTTATTAGTCATCCACCTGAAGATGAATGGTTGAAAATTGCTCCATTACGTATTTTAAGTTTTGATATTGAATGTGCAGGTCGTAAAGGTATATTCCCGGAAGCACAAATAGATCCTGTAATTCAAATAGCCAATATAGTCACAATTCAAGGTTTGATTGATTCATAATTTTGATTTGATATCAATATATAAAAAAATCATATTTTTACATGTTATTTTGCTTAATTTACAGGTGAAAAAACACCTTTTATTAGAAATGTTTTTACATTGAATTCTTGTGCCCCAATTGTTGCAACAGATGTAATTGAATTTTCTGAAGAGGCAAAAATGTTACAAGCTTGGAGGGATTTTGTCATTAAAGTATATTTAATACTATAAATTTTATCAATAAAAATTGTCTATAACAATAATGCTAAACTACTTACACTGAATAGGTTGATCCAGATTTACTTATTGGTTATAATATAGTATATTTAACTTACTTTGCAATTGATCATAAACCTGAGAACATATGATATATTGCTTTCGAAAGTTGTGCTGATAATGCATCTTCCATTAAACATTATTTTTCCATCTTCTATAAGACGTACATTGTGGTCAAGAGTATATATACAAATCAAATGAGAATTTTCAAAAAAAAAAAACTATCACTACTTCGAAAGTGGAAAAAGGATATGTTTAGCTGACGATAATGATTTATAATCAAAGCATGTAATTTTAAGATAAGGGCTCCTTTTGTTTCCATGAAAGCCCCATAAGCTTTCTTTATTTTGTATTTCAATTTTAATAATTGATTTTCTTGACAAAAAACAATCATTTCTTACAGCTGCCTAAAAAAAAATTATTTAAACCTATTATTACTCTTGTTAAAAGAAAATTATTTAAATTATTTAAATTATTTTAAAAAAATAAGACCTCTAATGTATTTAAAAAATTATCAACTTCGTCGTTTTTGAATCCATTTGGTGCTGGCATATAAAAATAATGTTGAAATCCATTTACATTGCAGAGAATACTATTA